AATTTATTGTATGAAGACTGTGTATAATATGACTATCTGAAGCTCAGTCACAGACACTGATTATTACATTTGTTTTAAATATTTGTAATGAGAGAATTATTCATTTATATCAGAGAATTATCCCTCTCTTCAACAGTATTGAGATTGTAAGTCTTTTTCTTTTCATCTTTTCTTTCTGATGCTGATTTTCCTGTTCTTAGAGAAAATTGTTATGAATTTTACTGTGCATGAAGTCATGACATTCACAGACATCAAGGAACTTTTCATGACTGTCAAATTCAATATTGCAGGTACATCTGCTCTGACTAATATCTTCAGAATGATTGATCTGTATCAGTCTATTCTCTGACAGTTGTCATCTGACTTTGTGATGCAGATGAAGAATATCTATGTTTTCAGGAATGAAAACACAGATGTCATACTCTTTTACACCCGCAGGCATGAGGCTTGTACACCTTGTCTGAGATGTCATTATGGGAATGAGCTGTTCGCATGCTGTGTTCTGCTTCCTGCATTTCTCTGTGTCTCTCTCTCTCTTTCTGAGAAGCCTTGTGTGTGTTGTAATTATATGTACAATTCTAAGGTCAGCAGGTGTTTGTTTAGTAATTGTTATTCCTGTTTTTACAGTTTCATATGCTAACAATAGTTCTTAGTTGCTCCGATGCCAGAGGCCATTTTAATTGAAGATGATAACATCACTGAGACTACCCTCTCCTATTCTCAAGCTTCTTCTGTCACTTTCTCTTCCTCTTTCTCTTCTGCAGAGAAGGTTGTGCGCACACCAGATTATAAGTGTTCAGCTCTGAGTGACTCTTACCATCATTTATCCAGTTCTGTATCTTCTTCTTCCATTTCTTCTATCTCTGTTCCCCCTGTTCTGACTCCTGATTCTGCAGGTTCTGTGCTCTTCTTCAATTTCTCTACATGTACATGTATGCATTTCTATATTGACATTCCAGTCAATCTTGCAATAAATGACATTAATGTTGTATGCAGAGTGATAGAGGAATCAGAGATGTATACAGTGTTGTTATAAGAGCAGCTTGTAACTCTCAAATCCCTTGCAGATCTCAAGTTTTGAGATTTTCTTTGTTTTTGACATTTTTCAGATGATGTGGCATTGGAAATAGATTAACATGTGATGTATGAAAATGAATGAGATGTGTATGATAACATTTGTCTTTTACAGCTGACTCTTACAGTTGATGATCAATTCATTATTTCTTTTCTTTTCTTACACTTTTTCTTTGTCTGCTAGTCACTACTCTTACACAATCTCTATATGATACAGTGTTTGATGACTAGGTTTGACAGCTTTTATCTTTTGTGATTCTGTCTCATGTATTATACTGTCTCTCTTCACTCACTCAGATCACTACAGTGAATGATTCATTGAAACTAACCTTGCTCAATCTCTGAGTGTCCTCAGAGGTCGAGATGACTTGGTCTCATATGTCCGCGGATGTTTCAGATAGTTCATCCTCTGTGATCTCCGCGATTGAACTGGTGTAAACAGTTGAATTCAACTCTGGATTCCTTTTTCTTCTGCAACCTGACTCATGTGTAAGTCTGCTGCTTTGAGACTGCTCTTTGTCACATTGCACTCACTGTCTGCAGCATATTATCATACAACTGACTACAGTCTCATCACTTATTGAAGTGTGATATTTGCCTGATTTCTTCATTTCTTCTCATTCTTTCCTTGTAATCATGAAAAGATTGAAATAAGTAAGATCATCTGGTTTGTAAGCATCTATGATTTCTCTTACTTTGTGAGGCTTTTCAATTATAAGCCTCTTCTTTTTCAACACTGATAATAGTGCTGTGAATAATTATAATTCACTCAGGTCTTGCATCTTTGCTTTCATAAGTCATGAATCATTGATTAAGTTGTGTAAGATCTGTCCCTCTGATTCTTTCAATGTGTATGTTCTCAGAGAATGTGATTTGAGTATTTTATATGGTTTAAATCATCTAGGTTGGAACTTCTCAGAACTCTTGTTATGTACAAGAACTTATGTTCTCATCTTGAGACTTGATTTCTTAATAAGTGAGTCTTGTATTCTTTTTGATTGAATTGCTCAGTTCAGGAGTAACTTGTTAGCTTTTGCACATGCATGGCTGATCTCTTTCAATCTTGGTTCTGTGTCTGCAACTGTTGTGTCTGCAACTGCTGTGTCTGTAACTGCTGTTTCCTCTTCTACCTTTTCTGAAGCATTCTCCGGGATGCGCGGATGCAATCCATACAACAGGTAGAATGGTGAATGCTTGATGACTGCATGCTGCTGGATTCGCGTGGCTAATAGCACCTGCCTGAGATATTCATTTCATAATCTTATAGGCTTGCTCACTAGATATTTCATCAGCATGTTGCTCAAGATTCTATTCAAGTGTTCCATCTTTCTGTTCATTTGTGAGTGATATGACATTGTTCTACAATATCTTGTCTGTAACTGGCTCATGAAATGCCTCACCACTCCTTCTACAAGGTTCACACTGTTATCAGTTAGAATCTCACACAGCATTTCATAGTTGACATAGATCTCATCATGTAGAAACTTCATCATCACCTTCTCTGTCACCTCTGAAACTGCTTTCGCGACTGGCCAGCCAGTAGCATAGTCAATAGCAGTGATTATTCATTGATTTCCATTTGACATTCACAGTAATATGCCTATGAGGTCCATCTCTCATTATTTGAATGATTGTATCATACACTTCACCTGATATTGCACTTTCTCATGTTCTAACCCTTTCTTAGATTCTTTCACAACCTGGCAATTCAGGCACTTGTGAGTGTATGTCTGAATATTCTCAGCCATGCTTGGTCAGTATGCTCTTGGTTCAAGTACACTCATGAGTTCAGAGCTTTCTAAGTGATTGAATTCCTTATGCATGTGAGTCACTAAGTTGTGATGAAATGAAGATTCTAGATAGAGAGCTTCTGCATATTCTAGATTGTGGTAAAGTATAACATCATTTTTCAATTTCCTCAGCTTGAAGTTTGAAAGCATCTCTTCTACTACTTTCATGAGACACTTGTCATCTGACACCTTGTCATTCTTCAAGTAAGAGATCATGGTGTTCACTCATTCTGATTCCTTGCATTCTCTCAGTGTGTTTAATGTGAATGTCCCTTGTGCCTGGTTTGCAGAACCCTCACTCATGAGATCAGGTCTGTGACTGATTGCATCAGATATCACTGCATCTGATCCCTTTCAGTATTTGATATGAAGATTGTATGCTTAGAACTCTGAGATTCAATGTGCTAAGTGTTTGAAAGGTTTTATTATTGATTGTAGATAGATAAGACTTTCATGATCTGTAATCACTGTTGTTGTATGCCTGTTATTGATATATCTATCTCACAATGCCAGCGCGTGCTTGATTGCTAGCAATTCCTTTTCATACACTGGGTAATTAAGCTCAGCGCCTGATAGTTTTCTATCATTGTACATCATCAAGTGCAGCTTGTCATTCTTGCCCATCTGTAGAAGAGTGTCTTCAATAGCTCATTTGAATGCATCTGTCTCAATGTAGAAAGGTTTATTACAATCTGATTGAATAAGCACTGAGAATGTTATTACACATTCTCTCAGTGTGAGAAAAGCCTCTTCACATGTGACATTTCAGATGATTGAATGAAACTTCTTCTTTTGCAGATTTACATTCATTTCTCTTAAGAGATTTGAGAGTGATATAGATATTCATGTGAAATCCTTGATGAATCTGCAGTAATATGAGGCCAACTCAAGAAACTGTTGTACATGATGTATGTTTCTCAGCTGCGGCCAATTCACTATGACATTCAATTTCTCTGAGATGGGGTGTATACAGTCATCACTCACTACATGTCTCATGAACTTCAACTCTTTCATTTCAAACACACACTTGATTGATTTGATATAGAGCTTATACTCTGTCAGAGTTATAAGCACTTCATCAAGATGCTTCAGATGTTCATTGTATGAGTTTGAAAAGACTAGAATATTATTGAGATATACAAGGCATGAGATTTCATTCTGTTTATAAAGAATTGTATTCATCATTGTTTGAAAGATGACAGGCACATTTGTCAGACTGAATAGCATTGCTAGGAATTTGAACTTCTCTCATTGTGTATTAAATGTGATTCATGAGACTGACAGTTTGTCTATGCAGATCTGTCAGTATTCTGAGAGAAGATCAATCTTTGATAGATATCAGGCATTTCTGACTGTATTCAACTGTTGTTGAATTCATGGCAGTGAATATTCATTCTTGATCATAAGCTTGTTGAGTGCTCAATAATTGATACACATCTGTCACTCTTCACCCGCCTTTTTCATGAATAGGACTGAAAAGCCTCACACACTTGATGAAGATTGTATGAGATCATATTCTAGAAGGTCAGTGATCTGATGCTTCTGTTCTTCAAGATGTGTTTGTGACAGAAGGTACGCGTTCTGATTGACTGGTTTTGCATCCTCTGTGTCAATCTCATGTACAAATCCTTGTTCCAGCAGCAATTTCAGTGAAAGATCTGTTCAGAAGATCTTTCTATGCTTCTCCAGAAGCTTCTTCATACTCTTGTCCTCTCACATATTCTTTATCTTGATTTTCTCCACTTCCGGGTCCTGTATGACATACAGAATGCTTTCAGATGAGATCTTGTGAATTGTTCTCTTTGCTTATTAATGCATAAGCAGATTTAATCCTTCTATATCAGAGGCGTGGAATGTCCTTCTCATATTAGTTGATAGGATTGTATGAATCATTTTCTTCCTATCAGTCAACTGTATATAGCATGTACATCATTGAATCTGCAGATTGAATCTTTGAAATCAATCAAGTCTGAGAATAAGGTTGTATTTCACATTCTGCAGCTCTCACGCCCAAATATAGCAAGATCATTCTTCAAAGTGCAAGAGAACTCTTACTCTTGCAGATAATATTAAATATCAGTTATCAGATAATCTTATACATTGAGGATTCTTCACTCAGCAAACCTCTTTCAATCTTCAGATCATATGATCATCAATATATTGTGTAGAAGCTTCTGTGTCTGCTAACACTTTTGCAGCCATCTCTTGATTCTTACTCAAGTGCCTCTTATACATTAACATTTCGGGCCTCAAGACATTGAGATGAGTGTTCACTTCCTCACCTGCATCCCAGTCAGAAGCCTGCTTCTTCTTTGCATTCACAGAATTCAGAGAGTCATCTAACACGGGCATCTCTTTCACTTTGAAGACTTTTCATAGAATATTAGCAAGTGTCTCTGAGCTCACTGATCCTGCTAGTTTTTTGACTGTGTATGCTGAGTGCAATCTTTTGCACCATGATTTTGACATCTGCAGTTGAAACAAGCTCAATACTCATAATATCAAGATTTCTACTCAGAGGATTTCTTTTTCAGAGGATTCAGTGCTTTAGCAATGACATTCAGATCTAGATTCATCATGTCTGAGTGTGTGACTTGTGTTATAGAAGTCTGATTACTTGTTCTTCACTGAGACATACTCAATTGCAGTATTTTCTGTCACAATTGACTTACTTGTTCTCATACAATGAGAATATTGTATGCTTCTTCCACTGTGCCTGGTTGCAAGGTTAAGCATTTCCATTTCACTCTCAACTCAGGTGTAAGATCATGAATGAAGATCTGTAAACAGAAAGATGTTGAAAGCTCTTCATTCAACACAAGATAGTGTAAACTGAAGTGTGTGAAGTATGATGTAAGATTATTCACTTGTCTATACTCAGTGAAGTGTTTGTAACACTTATCTTGTATATTCACTTTCTCAAAGTTGTACAAGATTCATTTGAAAAACTCATTTCATATTCATAAGAATGAATATCACTCTGAGTCTGTGAGATTCATCTTTTCACCAGTCATTCATAATGACTTTACTTTTTCATGTAGAAATGCGGCAGATCTTAAGACTTGTTGAAATTCTGTTGACTGTCTGTCTGTGAGTTCACATTCAATTCAATAATATAATTGCATCTGACTTAGCCAGCTGATTGCAGCATCATTTTTTCAGTTGCTATTGAAGCTTGATGACTCTGACAGATCTCCTGACTTGATGTATTTCATGCTTGAATTCTCATCCTGCACAGTGGTCTCTGATGATGTGTATGCTTCTGAAGAGGTCATGAACAATTATGATGAGATCTTCAGATTCAGTGTAGTTGCCTATCTGCATAAATGTTCAATCTTCTGCTGCAGATCTAAGATCTGGTTTTCTCTATTCTTATTAATGATAGTGATTGCATCAGTGAAGCTCTTCATAGTGAATACTTGATCTGCAGTGAATGTCAATTATTATTTGGCTTCTGCCTTGGCCTGCCACTGTGTACACAAGGCCTCAATCTTGTTTAGAATCCTCATATGTGTATAGAGCTTTGATTCTGGTTCAGTGGTTTCAGCTGCTTTTCTTACTGCTTTGAGTAAACTCTCTGAGAGGTTCTGCATATCTTTCAGTTCAGATAGCAGAGAAGAGTGTTGTTCATATCAGCTAGAAGAGGTATTCATTTCAGTGGTTTCTGATTGATTGTATGATGTCTATCATTATATCACTTGTATCATTATATCACTATATCATTATATGATTTCTGTTATCATTGTACGACTCCGGTGGTGGCCACCCCTTCCTTTTATTTCTTTGAGTGGAGAGCGATCTTCTTTGAATCTGGTTCACCACTCTCATTCCTTTTCTCACACCTCATCTGTTCACATATGTGGTATTCGCCTGGGCGTGGAGTTTTCTCCCAACAAGTGAAGCAGTATCAATCAGATGCTCTTTCACTCACCGCTCTTCATACACTATCTTTTGAGACATTCTAGGACTACTCTGACATGATAACTATGAATCACTTTGTAGATGGAATTATCACACTCTGGAGGAGCCTGTGCTTCTCACTGGTTTTTAGACATGCTACCAGATGTGATTCAAAGGTTGCTTAAGCCAGTGTACAATTACAGGCATACGCCAGCTTCTTATATTGTAATCTCATACACTAAATTAATTAGCGTACGCTATGGCCCCTTTACACGCGTATGCTAGTAGTTCGGAAGCGGCCGCGTTATTATCCGATGGTCGTACGTTCTTCCGAACCACACCATGACTTGAAAAAAATGAGAAAGTGGTCTCATTTGGTCTCATTTAGTCTCATTCTTGGCATAAAGTTACTATTTTTAGACATTTTAAGGTTTTTTTTAGACTATTTTTAATTTTTTAAAAAGTAACACTTTTTGATAATGCTCAAATGAGATTTAAAGTCATTTAAAGTAATAAAAATAATTTAAATTGAGAAGTGGAAATCATGGTCTCATTTGAAAAATGTGATAAGAGTAGACAGTAAGTCTCACTGAGACAGTATGAAACTACTATCTAATGTTAAAACTGTGTAATGAAATCAGTTGAATTGGTAATGAAACTATCAAAAAATCTGGTCCTGGTCTCAGACACAGTCACACGGTCAGTCTATCAGCAGTAAGCAGATTGACATGCTCAGAGAGCAGAGCTGTCTCCTCAATATCCTGAATTATGAAGTGCATTTGAGACCTGAATAAGACCTCAATTCCCTTCTTCTCTGTCAGCTCCTGCTAATCAATTAGAGAATAGAAGCATTATCAAAAATTGTTATCTCTTAATAAAAAACTTATCAGTTTTGACTTCTTTATCTTTCACTTCAATATCTTCTCAGTCTTCTTCTGCTGCTGCTTATTTATAGTAACACTCTTCTTCTTTCTCTCTCTCTTCATCTTGATCTCAAATCATTCTCAGAACTTCTTCTGGTCTCATCACTGCTGCATGAGACTCTTTACTATCTTCTTTTTCAATCTCTCACAGGTGATGTCATTCACATTATTTCTGTACTTAGTTCAGTCTAAAATCTATCAGAAGTATTACTTAAAATCATTATCATTCTACTCTCTTACAGAGCCTCTTCAAGGCATTATAATATGTCTTACAATCTGTCTCTTTGTACTTGAACATCTCCTTCTCCTCTCTCTTCAATCTGTGACAGCGCTCACGCGCCTTGATGGTCCGCAGGACCGCAGAATATTTGAAGAGGGATGACATGATTGATTTTAATAAGTGTTGAGAGAGGGGTGAAGGCAGGCAATAATATAATAATAATAATGATAATGATGATGATGATGGTGATAGTGATGATAATGATGATGATAATGATAATGATGATGATGATGATGAAAGAGAGAGTGCATCAGAATATATTATTAACTTATCAAATATAAAGAGATAAAGAAACTATTAACAGCTTTCAGAGATGTACAGAAACAGCTACAGTATTGCATAGCAACATTATCTTCATTCAATGCATGCACTATTGATATTCTTTGTATGCATTTATCATATAATCTATATCAGAGATACATGCAGAAAACAGATCTTTGTTGCTAGAAAGAATGATTACAGCAATTCTCTGTTTTCATATTATAAAGATAAGTTATTCTCATTTCTTTCTTCTCTCTTTTCTCTTCTTCTTCAACTCATCACTAAGTTCAAGCTGGTATGAAAACTATTAAAACACTCATAGAAATTCTCAAATTGAAGAGTATAAACTAATCAAATTTTAAATGCAGATGAATCAAATTAATTCAATAATACTAATTATTCATTTCTCTCTTAATAAAATAACAGTTGTGTCTTCTCCTCTCTCTCTCAAACAAAACATGGCTTGTGAAAAGTGAGTACCATGCCAGGCTATAATGATCAATACAGGCCCAGCATGCAGGGCTGCATACACACAGTGCATGCTGAACTGAGAGACTGTGTGAGTTGCAAATCAACAGCAGCATTTCAGAGAGAGCTGTGTGATGTGAGAAAGTCACAACTCTCAGTTATATATGCAGAGAGTGAATCACTGCAGTAAGTGCATGTGTATTGCATGAAAGTAACACTTTTTGATAATACTCAGTCTCTGATATCATGAAAATAGAGTCTCTTCATGAGATTCATTTTTATCAGAAGTTAAGAGATCTTATATTTCTCAAGATTATCTTTACATATCTTGTCTGTGAAATTGATGAGAAGAATCATTGATTTCAGTGTTCTGCCCTTGATGTCATTCAAGTGACAGCAGAGTTCACCCTGGCCACACTTTTTGAGTGTATGTTTTCTAATTATTCACATTTATACAGATATATACTGATTATTTATTAGATAATGTTAAGATAATGACTCATCACAGCTGTGTTATTCTCACTGTGAGAAATACATGATTGATAATGAACATTGTAAAGACTCTGAGAAGTGAGTATTTTGAGAGTGCTGCAGCTCTGCAATCTTGATTTTTTTTATTTTTATTTTTTATTTTTTTCTTTTCCTTTTCTTTTTTTTTTAATGTGATTTTTTCTTATGTTTGTTTTGTTTTTTGTTTTTTGTTTTTTTTTATATTTTATGTTTTTTTCATAATTAAAATTATATAAATTATAATCTGTGTTCAGAAAAGTAATAATATTTGATAACACTCTCTGTTGAATTTTTAATAAATGAGCACTATGTTATGATATTATATAAGTGAGAAGTGATTTTATGATCTCATTTGATGTCATTCTCAATAATGAAATCAGAATGAAAATGTGACTAAGAATTCAAACATATTCTTTATTCAGAACTAGATTTTTATTTGAAAAGTGAATCTGAGATCTTTAATATTTGAAATAACATGATTTGAAATCAATGTAATGAACACAAATCATAATCAGAAGTAATGCTTTTAGACAATGTGACAACTGTAAAGTTTGATTCTGGTTCCAGACATGGTCACACGGTCAGTCTAAGAAATACTGCTTAAGACTTCTCATTTTTCTTAAAGAATTTTTTAGAGATAATCTTACAGTGATAAGCTGATATCTTATAAACTCTATAGCACTCTTCTTCTATCTTCTTTCAAAGAATTTTTTAGAAGTTTAATGAGATTATACAACTGTAAAATTCCTGAAGCAGTTAGAGAAAAGAAATATTTAAAATTAATAAAAAAGATTAATATTATTGATCTGCAGACTGCTGCTATTCTAATAAGGCTGCAGCTCACTGAAAAAGTGAAAAGAGAGAATCTCAGAGTCTACTCATCAATAATCACACTCTTATCAAACTTATTCTTCATCATTGAAGTCTTCAGTACTGATATCTTTATCTGCTGAGAAGTTAGCACTGTAGTACTGCAGAAGAGTATGCTACAGAAGAGTATAAAAGATACTGAAAGTGTTAACTTATTAACTTATAAAGTATCTCAGTTATCTGCTTCAACTGAAGTGAGATTCTCTTCAATCAGTGATTGATTTTCACAGTGCTTTCAATAACAGTACTGACTGACTTCTTCTTAAGATCAGTCATTCTGAGGTATTTTTTCATCTCAGAGATTCATGCTTTCATCTTCTTTTACAGATAAATAAGAGAGATCTTCTCAGTCTTAATAGAATTCATCAATACTTAAAGCTCTGAGACTCTCACTCTGTACTGCTTGAGTATCTAGACTTCTTATCAGAGCTGATATAACATCTTTCTTTTCTGTATGTATCTCTGATACAGATTATATAATAACTGTATACAAAGAATATCAATAGTGTATATATTAAATAAAGATGATATTGCTATGTAACACTGTAGCTGTTTCTGTACATTGCTGAAAGCTGTTAATATTTTCTTTGAGTCTCTTTATATTTGATAAGTCAGTAATATATTTCAATGCACTCTCTCTTTCATTATTATTATCATTGTTATTATCATCATCACTATCATCACTATTATCATCATTATTATCATCATCACTATCACTATTATTATTATTATTATTATTATTATTATCATATCATTTCTGACTGTCTCTTCTGTCTTCATCTCTCTTCAATACTCACTGAAATTAATTATGTTATTTCTCTTCAAATATTCTGTGATTCTGCAGATCATCAAGACGCGTGAGTACTGTCACAGATTGAAGAAAGAGAAGAAGAAGATGTTTAAGTGAGAGAAGACAGATTGTAAAATATGTTATAATATCTTAAAGAGACTCTGTAAGAGAGTAGAATAATAACAATTTTAAGTAATACTTCTGATAGATTTAGACTGAACTAAGTATAAAAATAATACAGATAACACTACTTATAAGAGATTAAAGAAGAAGATAGTGAAGAGTCTCATGCAGTAGTAGTAGAATCAGAAGAAGTTCTGAGAATGATTTGAGACTAAGATAAAGAGAGAGAGAGAGAAGAAGAGTATTACTGTAAATAAGTAATGACAGAAGAAGATTAAGAGAGTATTAAAGTGAGAGACAAAGAAGTCAAAACTGATAAGTTTTTTATTTATTGAGAGATAATAATTTTTGATAATACTTCTGTTCTCTAATTGATTAGCAGAAGCTGACAGAGAAGAAGAGAATTAAGGCCTTATTCAGGTCTTGAATGCACTTCATGATTCAGAATATTGAGAAGACAGCTCTGCTCTCTGAGCATGCTAATCTGCTTATCACTGAGATGAAACTCAAGACAGCAGATCAGAAAATGTGAGATTTTAAGATGCAGGTTGATCTGACTGCGAAGAAGCAGTGAGAACTCTTCTCTGAGAAGGCAGTGAAGAGAGATTTTAAGATGATTATTATCTCAGATAAGAAGAAGAAGAAGAAGAAGAATAAGAAGTAAATTATAAAGAATGATAAGAAGAATGAGAAAGAGAAAAAAGATGATAAGTTGAAAAAGTTTTTTTCTTTTTATATTAGTTAGTTATAAGTTCATAATTATTAATAATTGAAATTAATTTTGAGTTTTTAAAAATTATTGTACAAGTTGTAATCAAGTCAGAAATAATATATATATATATATATATATTTAACTATCATGATTTATAAATCACTATAATATATAAGTATCAACATTTTTTCAACATTGATATTCATAATATTAATATATTTTTAATAATATTATCTGATAATGTAATTTAGTAACACTCTCTTTCACAATATTAATATATTTCAAGAAATATGATAGAGATTAATCAAGATTGTTTATTTACTTTTATACATTGATGATATTCAATCTGAGTTAGTACTAAAATTATAACTAAGCTAAGAAACAAGATTATTTTCTCTTATATTAATTCTTCTTACACACATCAGTGATCAGTTATTGAAAATAAATTATTATCTTTCTCAAATTATTATTATATCTTCTAAATTCACTTCTTTCATTTCTTTCACTTCTATTGAAGATTTACAAACTCTTTAAGAAATTACTATAAATCATAAAATCTATATTCTTTACAATTCAACACAAAATGCTCTCTTTCAATTATAATAAATAATCACTTCATTCTTCATATCTGATTTCAGGTCATGAAATTTATAAAAAACTTAATATAAATATTGAGATGAACTATGAAATAATTATTAATAGATTGTATTATAAATTACTGAAGAGTCATCTCTCTACTTCAATCACTATAACTTCATTCAGAAACATTCATTATAGACTGATCATAGTTCTGAAGAAATTTTCTGATATCTGAAGTTATCAGAATGCAGATAATAAAAGAAAAATAATCAGAAAATTACTACTGAGTTAATAAGTTACTCTATCAGATAATAATTTTTAATAACACTAACTTTCTAATTTGAAGAAAATTATATGAAAATAACTCTGTATCAGTACTCTGATTTCATAACTCTTATCTGATAACTTCTATAAATAATTACTTTATATGTATATATCTCTGAATCTTTCTCTTTAATCAATTGAAAACTCTGAATTCTAAACACTTCTTTAAATACTTAATTTAAATCTTCATATTTCACATCAATTCTGTCTTCAGTTCAATCTTGAGATATACTACAAAGTTAATATATAATATCTAGAATCAGAGTTAAAGAATCATTGAAGAGTATCTCTCACAGTGAATGCATAAATTAGTATAAATAATCTTACATTTATAAGAGTTACATGTTATTACATTGATAAGAACTGAACTTATTAAGAGATATTAATTGAATTTGAATTATTAATTAGTAGTCATACTGAGAATTATATAGCAGAGATATTAATAACTGTGATTAAAAATAACTATTAAGATATTAGTCTTAGTCTTCTCACAATTACAACTGACAATGCTGTAAATAACTACACTATAATGAAGAGCTTGAAGTAAAAATTGACTTTGTATTTCTGAAATGATAAACAAGATCATATCTTCTGTATTACTCATATAATTCAACTTGTGATACAAACACTGATAAAGAATCTTAATATTGAGATAAAGAATAATAAGATGACTGATTCTTGAGATGAGAATAAGATGAAAGTGATTACTTAAGTAACTTTTGTATTCACTTTATAAAAGATAATATTTTTTGATAATACTTTTTAATATTGCTTTTTGATAATGCTTTTTAATAATGCTACTGTTAATTTTGAATAGATTGACTAATAATTTAAATATTATAGATTTGAAACATTGCTAATATAATTTGTATTTCTTTTAAATAATAATAATGATTTTATAATATTCAATAAATAAACAAATCAGTCACATCACTGAATATAATACAGAATATTAAAATATAATGAAGTTTAATATATAAGATGACTGTTTAGACTCTTCAATTATATCAGATAATTGATCATTGAGTGCAATACTCTGATTGAGAAAAGATTCAGATATTGAAACTTTCTAATATGAAGTGAACTCAGTTGAAATATGTGATTGATTTACTGTTTCAGTTTTATAAGATAATAAAGACAGTCTTAATCACTTATATATCAATACTGCAGTCAGTCTGATAAGTGTATAACAGTTTTTTTACTCATCTTAAGAAGCAGTTGAATCACTCAAAAAGAAATTCAGTCTGAGATAATGCTATAGTACAGGCTATTATTACTGTAAGAGATAAACTGATATATTACTACAGTAAAACAGAACAATCTTTTACAGAGTATTATACTATAGCAGCTCTACTAGATCTCTTCTGTTAAATTAATATCTATACTTCTTAAGATTGAACAGAGGAGAAATGAGACTCATATATTAAATTAGTCTGAGACTACTATAATATCAACTATCAGAGATTTGAATAAACAGATGTTCAAGATATGAAGACAGTGAAATACAATTCTCTAGTAAGTAATGATCTTTGATAATACTCTATATTATATAGAACTATAATACTAACTTTGAAACAGAACTTACATACATTGATTACAACTGAAAATCAGATAAAACTATATACTTATAAAACTGAATTTAACTACTATCTTCAAGATAATCTGATGAATTTACATATCAAATCAATTCTAGAGTTATGAAAAATTGTTAGAAGTACATATTCAACTGTTACACTGATAGTGTGTGATATTCTGATAATTTCATTGACAGAGATGAGAATGAAGTGAAAGTTTAACTCAAGTTGAGATATTTGTTACTATCACTGAGAACAATTATAAGAAGAAACAATCAAGAAACTCATGATTATAAAATATGAAATTATCAGACAGTTTAATACCTCTGATCACAGTATATCAGAGAAGTATAGTTTTTATGAGAAAGTAAAGAATAAACTTATACAAGAATGTATTTAGTTGTTTCATAAGTATTATCAATAATTATTATCAAATTCTGATTATATAAGCAATCACTGAATGAACTGAATAGAACTGATTTTAATCTTCAGTCTCAGTCTTATTCTGATTTTGAAAGAATGATCATCTTTCACAGTTTATTCTGAAAATTACTCTCATTTCACTGTTCTTGAAATTAAATCTGGTCATTTTTCATACCATTTCTCTCAGAAATGATTCATTTTCAGATTTTTTTGAGACTTGGTTCTGGTGAGACTCACATCAAAGAAATGTATGAGACCAGACTAAATGAGATCAAATATGAAATTCATGATCTCAGCGGCCAGTCTAGAGTCATATGTCATTATATTGACTGAGAGAGGGGGCAGCGTTGCAATGATGATGAGAGAGGCAGAGAGTGAACTGAATGCAGATACATCAGCCGGCAGAAGGAATAACACCTCACTGCAAGACACAGTGACTATCACCGCGGCTGTGAGAGAAGCAGAAGAAGAAGAAGAAGAAGAAAATGTGATAATGAGGGTAATGCTTCTGCAGCTCATTGATGTCACTGTCTCTGTCTTCAACCTGACTTTCTTGACAGTTATGAAGACCGCTGCCACACCATGAAGATATTTATTCACTAGAAAATATCAGAATAAGCTCTTTATTATTCTTCAAGAATGATACTCTCATGCACTCACTATTACAATTAAGAAAAAGAGAAAGAAAAATGTTTCATAAAAGAGAGAATCTTTTCAAAAAAATCCTGTCACTACTGTTAGCTTTATCTCTAAAACACATCACTTTTGCAGAGAATTTTATATATAGAATAAAATATATTGAGAGATCTGCAAGTCACTTATTAACTATATTTTTCACATTTCAAATTAATATATAAGGAACTCACTTATCACATATTTGATTTGAATGAAGATGAGAAAAGAAAGATCTATGCAGTCAGTGGAAAAACTCATCTATTTCTTTATATCATATACAGCACATGTGCTGTCAATCAGTTGATAACTGTTACTATATAACAAAGATAATTTCTAATCTGATAATCTTGAGAGCATCAGAACTATACTCTTAAAGAGAAGAGTATTATCATACTCTCAGCTATGTCAAGATCTTATTGCAGTTTCACACAGTTTATCACTTTCATGCAGATGATTTCATCTCATTCAAATCAGTTTTCAATCACTCTATAACATTATTTGAATATATCATAGAAAGATCTGATTGATGAATATGAGAAACTCTGCTTCTATACAAGATCAGCAGATTACTCTTTCTTGATAATGAGATGCTGCTGAGGTATCACTCCAGCTATTCTCACTTATGAAATGAGAGAAGAGTATTCACTCATTATCTATATAGAACAGCTAGATGCTGGCTTCTCATGAAAGAAGTCAGTGATTTGTTTTTTCTTCTACTGAAATATATATGAGAGTTACTGTGTGTCTCATACAATCTTCTTAGTATACTAAGTATTATATCTGTGATATTCTCACAATAACTCTGTAGCCTCGCTATTCAAGCAAGATAGTCAAGCTCACTCATACAGCTTCTCAAACAACTACCTCTACATGTCACCGCCGACTAGCCACCGCTTCGGTTCCGCCACGTTACATAAAGAGACAGATCTTCTGTCAGAAGACTGAAGATGATGTGAGTGAATAATTCATAAGTATATAATGTGATCAGTTACTTTTCTCTTCTTATTTTTCTTTTCTCTTTCTTATTATCTTTTCATCATCATTCTCATTATTATAAAAAATTTTTATTGAAATCTAGAGAACTTGCAGCAATGAGTTTAAGAAAGATATTCAGAACATTAGATGTGAGAGAAGTGATTGATCAGATTAATTGTCTTGACAGAAGTGATATAAGAAGAGTGTTGAAAAGGTTATTTCAGTTATTGAGTTAGAAAGAGTGTAATGCTCTTCTTGAGACTGCAGAGAAGATAAATGAAATTGAAGAGTCAGAATCTTATTCTTCAATATCTAAGATAGTTTCAAGAAGTGGTAAGAAAAAGATGATTGCATCTCATCATCAGTCAGCTAGATTACATGATTAGAAAGCTGTGAATGAGTTAGTGAAGAAATCTGAGAACAGAAGCTCAAAAGATTCAGATATAACTGCAGAGAGATTTAAACAGAAGTTTATTACATCATTCACTGAGCTAAAGAAGTCATGTTCTTCAAATATGTATGAGTTCTCTAACAGAGATATGAATGCGGAGACAGCAACTGAAGACAAGATGAAGTCAGTAGCTCAGATAGAAGTGAAAGTGAAGTCAGCAGTGAAAGACATTTATAAGAAGAAAGATGAAGAGAAACTGAAGCTGACTGAAGCAGATAAACAGTGATAAAGAAATAGTCAGAAGCAATGTAGCACATTAGAGAATAACATATCAGAGAAGATGAGATGAAAGAGAGTTATTAAAGATGATCAGATGCCTTAATCATGAAACATGACTTATATACACTGTCTGTATTATAATGACAAAACTAATCTATACTTTCAGAAGAATGAAAAGCCAGCTCAGCTGAGTGTATCAATAATGCAGAATCTGACTGTAGAAGAACTTGTAAATGCTGTGTCAATCATTGAAAGACTCATGAGACACAGTGAGAAAATACTGTTCATGAACTGTGAATTTTTTATTCTACTCAGTCAGTGATTGATCAAGCAGCTGAGATGAATACTCACACAATGAAAGTTACAGTGATAGATGACAAATAATGACTTGATTATCTCAAGAACAGTTGATCTCAAAGATTCAGCTAATCAGAATATCATCATTTTTCAAACTTGTGAAGAAGTAGTTCTCACATCTTGTCAGTCTTGTACAGTAGATCACAGATAATTTGAAGAGTGTATAATTACTTCTTCAGATAATAACTGAACTCAGCAGAGACATGACACTTATACTAACTGTCAGTGAGATAACAAGAATGTCTGCTATTTTTTAAATTATCATAGCTAGTACAGATTTGAAAGAAACACTGATAATCTACTGTTTAAGAGAAGTATGCTGAGGTTTGAGAAGACTGTGAGTGTGAACAGAGATGACACTATTGAAGATAGTAATGTAGATGAAAATAATTTGATCTTTATCTCTGCTGAGAAGATACTCACTTTCTTGAAATAGAAGACCTTGAGTTCAGTCACTCTGAAATCTATCAAGTGCATCTGAATTAGTGAGGAAGATACTAGTTCAACTTCTGTCAGAGTGATTGAGAATATCAAGATAAGCAGTGAATAACAGTCATCAATTTTATCTTTCAGAGATCAGACTATTAACTGTATGACATAGAATCTGAAGATATTAAGACAGTTATCTAATCTTAATAAATATAATCTGAACACTGTGCAGGTCACTCAGAAGAAGTTAGACAAGATTGAGAAATTTACTAATATAATCTCAGCTGTGAATGACATTATTAACAACAATCATTTCTTCAAGCTGTCTAGTAAGGCATGTTTCAGTAATCTCATGAATAATAGTCTATCAGTGAACATTGCATTCTGAGATGCATATCTTGCTAAACAGAAGATGAAGCTGCAACATGAGCTTGAGAATAATTGATAAAAGACTTAGAGTAAATATAACAGACAGAAGATCTCTGATTTTACTTTTCTTTATTCTATTTTCTTCTTTTTTCTTTTTCTTCTGCAGTCAGTAGTTAAAAATAGTAATAATAAATTTTCTTTTCTTTTCTTCTTCTTCTCTTTTTTCTTGTTACTTTTACTCATGATATTCTCTTTCTTATCTGTCTCTCTTAGACTTGACATGATCGCCCGCGAGGCCTCTTAATTATGAAGACTTTGACAAGATCTGAAGTATTCTCTGTGATCACATTGAGAAGTTCTCAGATCAGATCTTCATATTCTCTTCACTTGATCTGAAGATATGTTTTTTCTCTCTCTGTGCATTTGCTGATGATCTTTTCAATTTCAAATTGAGACTGATTAGTCACAATAACTGACTCTGAGAATGAATGTTTAATGTCTGCAGAATGTAGAAGCATTTTTTTCAAATGAATAATAGAAATAACAGAGTGCATGCATCACTTGAAGAAAAGTAGTAGATAGAAGATAATATCAGAGACTTTCATAACAATCTTAAACAGGTCAGTTCACAGAGATGAGATCTTTAAAGATTCTTGAACAGTATATTCTTTTTCATTCTTGTGAACCAGGTTAAGAAAGACAAAGTCACTCATCTTGATGACTGATTGAGCATGGAAGTGATTGAAGAATTCTGCTATTTTAACTTTTGCAAGAGTGTATAAATCTAGAGCATTTTACTGTACAGTATCATGAACTGCAATGAATTCAGTCACATCTATTAGAGCTTCTTTATTCCTCAGCAGCAGTCATCTCAGCTTGACTCTCATAAGCAATTCAAATGAGAAGACTACTGCTGAGTAAGCAGCTACGGAGTTCAGAGCTCTTTTCACCTGTTTGAGTAGAGTTCTTCAAGATAATTTATACTTGTCTATGAGAAGTGCTTGTAAGGTGATTTTAATAGTGAGATTAATTCACTTGCTCTGATCATTTGAATGAGAATTGTAGACAGTTATCATTCAGCTCTTGATTCTTATCTGTTGAAAAATACTCTTTCAAAATTGCAATGTGAATTTGAGATCTCTATCTGAGATAATAATTAGTGAAAGCTGTCAGTGACAGACTACTTCTCTATAGAACTCTTTCACTTATCACAGAGTGTCTCATTTCTCTTATCTGATGATCAGAATGACAGCTTTTAAGAATTTATCTGTGACTGTCAGTATTGTGTCACAGCTGTCACTTATCAGTAATTCTGTAATGAAATCAATTGACAGAATCTCAAATGATTCTTTCAGAGATGAGATGAGATGTGATTTCCCTCACTGAAAGTGATTTGACAGCTTAGACAGTTGACAATTGAGACAATGTAAGATATGTGTAAGAAATTCCGCTTCTCGCGAATTCTTTACTTCTATTCCTATCTCTCGTGTAATTAATAGGGCTAGCGGCTCTTGGCTACACACAACTATATAGGCTGAAGTTCATGAATACTATTCATAACTCAGCTTAAATACTATTATATATTTAATCTCTACATTTTATCTTTCTACTGTGAATACTTCTAGTAGTTAATAGTACATATCATGTCAAGCTGTAAATACCTGAATAATCATCTGTAAGCACTTATTCTTACATTTCAAGCTCAGTCAGTCAGTAACTATCTATTATGACTGAAAGAACTAGAAACTTATATACTTCAATCTCTATAAACTCTACTGCAGACACTCAGAAGCAGTTATCTGAATCATGAATAGCTCTTATAAAAGAAGTCTCAGAGAACTTATTAATTACTTATAGAACATTATTCTCTACATCTGTAACAGAGAAACTCTCTGAACTCATGAATAAATCAATCTCAGTGAAGAACATTCTTAAGTATCTTCTGCAGAATCAAGCTATTTTTCTATAAGAAATACTTACTATCTGTAAACACTCTTGAACTGAGTCTCTAGATATAATCTTCAGAGATATTTATAAACTGAAAAGAAACTTTCTTAAGCTGTGATCACTTAAGATCACTTATCAAATCATAATATATAAAAGCTTTTATA